GGTACGCGCAGGGGGGCCGGCAGGCGCGGCCGAGCCCAAACGCCCGGGGCTGGGGGCGCGCCTTACCCGTAGTAGGGGGATCCGCCGGCCCAGGACGGCGGGTGCGGCGAGGAGCTGGAGGTGCAGTTCTCGGCCGGGCGTTTGGGCTCGGCCGCGCCTGCCGGCCCCCCTGCGCGTACCCCCTCCGAGGAAGAGGAGCGGCTGGAGCGCGAGCACTTCTGGAAGGTCATCAACGCGTTCCGCTACTACGGGTAAGGCGCGCCCCCAGCCCGCCCGGCAGCCTCGTGGCGAGCGGGTTCGCGGGTCACCTGCGCGCGCTCCCCGAGGACGGCTTTCCCACTTTTCCCGGCGCCGCCCGAAAGAGCGTGCACTTTCCTAGAGAAGTGAACGGCGCCGCTGAGTGGCTCAAACCGGATGGTGAAAGGTTGAAGTGATCCCGGAATTCCAAAACGTGCTGCTTGGGAAGGGAAAGACAGCAGGCACCGGAGCCGGCTTTATGTTCTCGTAGTCTGAGAGTAAGAATGAAATTCCTTTCGTGGGCTAGGCATGGTTGCAGGACCCTTAAGTATGCTCCGCGTTCGTAATACAACTTCCTAACTTTAACGTTTCGTCTAGATAGGTGTTCAGATAGTCTAGTCAGAGTGTGTAAGTGCAGGTCTGAAAGGGTCTTCGTGCGCCTGGATTTTGGGGCAAAGATAATAGATTTTATTCTGGTAAGTGATAGAGTCCCCTGGTTGCTGTATTTTGAGCCTGTAGTTGGAACCAGAGAGACGGACAAGACTCCTTGTGGGTCAGACCATTGTAGATGGGACCCTTGTGCTAGTAGTACAGTTGTTTATATAAATAATTTATTTGCCCAGCTGTGACCGCCCACCTCCAGGGCATGAACTGAGCCTTACTTATTTTTAATGTCACGGCACTTGGCAATGTTGGTGAAGCTCTATTTCTAACGAATAAAACATAGTAACAAAAAAAGGACACCCCAGTAGAACCCTCTTCAGTTTTGGCCAATGCTTACAGTACTTTGTTACTGGTTTGAATTGAGTAGAGTTATTTAGGATCTGATGGTTACGTTGTAGCAGGTATGGCAGAAGCACGGAATCCAAAACCTCAATCTTTCCAATTGGGAGTACTTACTGCTTAGCTACACTTCTAGGCTCATGACAGACTGTTTCTTAGATCAAAGATTTTGATGAAATAATTTACTATTTAAACTCAGAAGGAAGGGGTTATTCTGTGATAGTAGCACATTTTACTATTGACAAATAGGAAGAATTTCGGAAACAACTTGGCACATAGTAGACTCGGTTAAACTTAGGCGTTTGTATTCAGTTTTAGTATATTGGAGCCAAGAATTGGTGCTTATTATTAGGTATTGGGTGGGCCCTTAGCCTGGGGGAGAGGACCTTTGACTTGAGACTCATCTTGAATTTTGCCGTATAGAAAAGGATGCTGTGTGCATTTTCTAGTTGTAACGTAGTTCCCGGTGCTTTCTTCTCTCTTTAACAGTTGAATGTGGAATTGGGTTGGGGGAATTTTCATTAAAGTTTTTATTTGTGTATACTGTCTGTGTGAGACACTCCAAGTCTCTGGAAAAGTAGTGTAGCCTAAGTAACAAATAAATGCCATTGAGAGGTGAGGGATATAGCAAGCACTGTGTTGCTGTCTAACATCTTTTGACGATCTGGCCTTGAAGGGTATACTGTATACTATACTGTAACCACTACTCACATCTGGACAGATGTAAATTCACTGAAGGTTAGGATTGAGTTGCTCGGTCTCACTAGCCATCTATCAAGTGCGCCACCACCTGTTGCTAGTGTACCACGTTAGAGTATGGGTAGATGTCTTTTCATCATTAGTCGGTTCTGACAGCCAGTCCTGTTCTAGACTCCCAGCACATTTTGGAGGGCTTAGTTTTACCACTAAATGTTACAGTAAATAGAAGACTTAGATTAAAGATTACAGGGCAAGAAATGCCTTTTGGCTCCTGAGTGTACCAAAAAAAAATCTGGTGTTTGAAGACATTCATGAGAAGCAGAGTGCCATCAAAAAGTTCCTATATTTTACCAATGAGGTCTTTACAGATGTTCAGCTTGGAACACATGAGCATTGTGTGAATAAAGGAGCTTGATGGCTGCTCTAGAAAGAGGCTACAAAATCATCAAATAGCTAGTGGACCTTAGCTTATAGTTTCCATAATAGCTATGTTACCCCAAATATTGCATGATAGGATCAGACTGCTTTCAGCTCTGGCAAAATGGTCCCCCCCCCATGTTTTTATTTGTTTTGTTTTGTTTCTTTCCTGACTGTGTGTGAGGAGGGCATTTTTAGGGCTGGCCCATAAACATATGCTGTACCTCATGAAGCTGCAGACCCTCAGCCCAAACCCTTTAAGGATCTCCCAGAGTGCCCTGGAGACAACTAGATCACTCGGGGTTAAGGACTGTGCTTCCTTTTATCCAGTTCTGTGGTTGCCTGAGTGATACATAGTCTCCATGAGCAGCTAGAAGCACCAGCATGCCCAGCATTGGTTTGTTGTTGTTGTTCTTACTGAAATTGGACATTTGAAAATGGTATAGATGGAAGTTGTACCTAGAAAAATGACTAGGAGAGCAGGGGACGATGGGGAGACCTTGTGGGGAGACAGCATGCATCTAGCAGCACTCTTGCTCAGTAGCAAGCTCTTGAGTACTCTCTGTGCACTGTGGGGCTGAGGAAAGTCATTCAGAGACTGTGTTAGCTGTGAAGATAGGGGGGCACAATCTAGGCGGTGATGGCACATGCCTTTAGTCCCACACTTGGGAGGTAGAGGCTGGGGAATCTCTGTGAGTTCGAGGCCAGCCTGGTCTACAGAGTGAGTTCCAGGACAGCCAGGGCTACACAGAGAAATCCTGTCTTGGAAAAGAAAGAAAAAAGGAAGAAAGAAGGGAGAGAGGGAGGGAGGAAGGAAGGAAGGAAGGAAGGAAAAAAGGGGGACACACGCTACTAAAAACCAGTTTGGTGGTTTTAGTCACGAGTTTTGAGGTGTGGTGAGAAAATGACAGGACAGCCATTGCCTAGGAATACTAGGAAGAAAGGTCTATAATAAGACTGAGCTGCTTAGAGTGAACTTGAAATTGTTGCCATTCTGCTGTTTGCCTGACTTTACTAAGGCAACATTAGAACTATGTAGGTATTGATTAAAACAAAACTTTTTGAAAGTCATTTTGTACTTATTCAAACCTGATAATACTACTTTGGGAAATTTGTTCCCTCCTCCTTTTTTTCCCTAAACAATCTGTTGCCATAAGTGAATCTCCCAAGTTAGGTAATTTACTTGTAAGGATTAAAGCTATAAAAAGGTGGGAGTTTCAAGGTGTGGACCACATTTAATGAAGTCCTTCTTGCTGGTGGAGAGTCTATGGAGCCCTGAGGCGGTATAGGACATCACTTGGTGGAAGGACTGGGCAGCCTCCAGGTCTCCTTTCTTTTCCTTCTAAAGCCACAGTCCTGTTAGATTAGGGGCTACGCTTCAGGTACCATTTAACTTAAATGATTTCCTCTAAGTCCTACCTTCAAATACCATAGTTGTCTTACGTTTCTAACACTTTATACCTCACAATGAGGATTAAATTTTAATGTGCATTTTTGTGGCTAGTTTCAAACCATAGTAAATACAGATTGTGAACATAAAAAAAGTTCACTGCTCAGTGCCCAGTAGTTAGAAAATAGCTTAGTAAATTTTGTTTGCATAAAGTAGAATGTTAAACAATCATTTTATTCATTTTATATTTGAGAACTTTTGTCCAACCTGAGAAAAGTTCTTCCTGCAAGGATGAAGAATTATAAATGATTCTCAGACTTTGAGGTGTACCCGAATCAGCTGTGAAACTTAGCTAAAAGGCAGATTCCACTCGGTAGGACATAGGTCTGTCTGGATGTCCATTCCTAACCTCTTCCAAGAGGTTTACTACTATTATATTTGGAGTAACTATTACATGACAGCAAGTCAGACATGGGAAGACAGATACCTCATGTTTCTATGTGTGGAATCTAAACAGTCGCACATAGAAGGAGCAGGATGTAGTTAACCACCAGATGGGAGCGCAGGGGTGAAGATGGGGTAAATAACACTTTGTGTTCCATAACTGTGTAGAACTAGAATTTGTGAATTCGGTCTTAGGTCATGAATGACTTTGTCTTTAACAGCTCCAAGAGGGGTAAATGTGGAAGGTTAGAAGTAGTTCCTTCTAGAAGAGGGCTTGCTATCTCTTTCCCGGGGGGGGGGTGTAGTTTTACTTTTCTGGGTTTTTGTTTTGTTTTGTTTTTGGTATTTCTACTGTGGGTTTGGTAATACGTAGAAAGTAGGTATGTCTGCTATATTTGCATGCTGTATTTGCCAGACTGTCACTGTGCTAAACCCCAGTGTAAACAACTTGATGGAGGGCAAATGTATTTGATGCACTGTTTCAAAGGTATCAGTCAGCTGTGAGAAATGTTGACTGAGCAGAGCGGCTGGTCTCCTGGCAGCCTGCAATCAGAAAGAATCTGGAGAAGATTCCCAAAAGGGTGTCCCCTTGCCCTGTGATCTGTCACCTCCTGCTACCTTGTAGAGTTTCTAGAACCTCCCCCAGAAGTGCTGTTAGCTAGAAACCAAGCCTTTTGGTATATGTTTCTTGGGTTTGTTTTGTTTTTCTCTTTTTTAAGGAAAGGGACTTCATATGCAAATCATAAAAAGTGTTTATGCTCACTAGTTTTCATAACCAGTGAAGGCTGATGGAATGAACAGAGGACTATAATGATACCTACCTTGTGGGTATTGTGGAAATTTATTCCAACCAGTCTGTTATGTACATGCTTGGTAGTTACTAAATTTCAATAAATGATACTTCCATCATCATTATTTTACCTTGTTTTATCAAGACACTTTGAGGTGTATAAGGATCCCATAGTAGTAAGACTGGAGAATGGACCTACAGTCCCCAAAAGTCCATACAGCCACTGCCCAGGTGGCCTCTAACATTACCCTCAGGGCCTCTCTATCAGAATGCCACACGTGCTTTTAGAAACATGACTGTAGCATGTGTGTATAGCATGAGCTTCATCTGTGCTTCTTCATGTTTCACAGAAGATATTTACATTTGTATTTTACAGAAGCATTTGTTTTATTTGTATTTAGAGAATGTAAAGAATGCTACGCTGAGTACCTATGAGCCACCGCCCCGTATCCACAGTTCATCACACTCGTGGCACACACACACCCCTGTCCTATTACTTTTTCTCACAGAGAGTGTTCTTGAAACATTTTCTTGCGCAGTCACTTGAGGTCTAAACAGTATATTGTTTAATATATAAAATGGAGTTGTATATCATGTGTCCTTTAATTTGCTGTTTTCAAATATTTGCGTTCTTGATTTTTATCTATTATGGTTGTGGTAGCGCTTTGTTCATTTCTCTGCATTCCACTGTAGAGCTATTATTTCTTCATCCTGACCACTGGTAATGTCCTTTCTGTGGTCTGTGGGTTTTTTGTTTGCCATTTAACAGTGCTGCGGTGAAGGAGACTTGTGTTTCTTGATTGTGTGTAAGATTATAATTTCTAGCTCATAGGGCAGATGAAACAGTAAGCTTTACTAAGTATGCTGTTATTTTACAAGATGGTGTGCATTCACCATTAGTGTGTAAATGTTCTGAGTTTTTCCACAGTTTTACCAATATTTGATCTAGTTTGGATTTTTAGATTTTTGCCAGTTTCGTTGATGTAAAATGACACTTATGTGTGAGTATATATTTAGCTTCTAAAAATGAGGCTCTCTTTTTTACTTCCTGAATAAACAATCCCCAAAGAACCATTCTACTTAGGAAGCTTTTGAAATACAAATTGTGAATTTTACATTTGGAACTCTTTAGAATCTTAATTTTCCATTTGCTTAATACTTTGGTATTATATGCTTTGTATTTTTCAGAATTCAACTTGGACTGGCTTTTAGTTATTTTCAAAACATTTTTTATTCTATATTATTACTATTTTGATTCTGGGGATTCAGCCTATACTCCTTAAGCATGCTGGGCAAGTACTTTGTCACTGAACTATATATTCAGACCTTTTTTTGTTTTGTTTTTTGTTTTGTTTTGTTTTGGAGACAAGGTTTCTCTGTAGCTTTGGAGCCTGTCCTGGAACTAGCTTTTGTAGACCAGGCTGGCCTCGAACTCAAAGAGATCCATCTGCTTCTGTCTCCCGAGTGCTGGGATTAAAGGTGTGTACCACCACTGCCCGGCTATTCAGACCTTTTCAATGTATTTTTACAGCAGCATGTTACGACTTGATGATACAGGAATCTAAGCCAATTTTACCCAAAATGTTTAATTTGAAAATTTAAATTATTAAAAGTAATTGTAAATTAATCTTTTTCCTCTTATTAGTACACATATCTGTTTTTACCATTTTGTTGTTGATTGCTCTAAGAAGTATTCCTCATGAAGTAAAAACATAAGCTTTCTAAGCTGATATTCTTCCAAAGTCAAAGGATAGTAAATGAGGGCAGTGTCCAGCATAGCTAAGGAATAGTTATGTGGGATGGCAGTCTTAAAGTATGGTTGGCCTCTGGCGAGAGTTTTTCTTGACAATTAAACACCTTTTCTGTTTTAGCACCAGTATGCATGAACGAGTGAAGCGAACAGAAAGGCAGTTCCGATCACTTCCAGACAACCAGCAAAAACTGCTTCCTCAGTTTCCTCTCCACTTGGACAAGATCCGGAAATGCATTGACCATAATCAGGAAATACTGCTGACCATTGTGAACGATTGCATACATATGTTTGAAAATAAAGAATATGGAGAAGATGTATGTGAAACTTATTCTGTCCCTTTTCCTGTGAGGGTAACCGTCTGTATGTGCAGGCCTTGAGCAGGTCATCCACTCTACTGAGAGGGTGTTTCCATGTGATAAAGCTGGAACAGCATGCTAGGGATTGCATTTGTTTGCTGTTTATTTCTTAAACACCTAGATAATTGGTAGTGCTTTCACGTGTTTTCAATCTTATATAGTATATAAAGGACTTTAATTATTTGAAAGACTTTACTAGCTGTATTAATTCCCCTTGTTGCGTTTTCAGTATCTTCTATTTGTTAATATTCATCTTTTATTTTAAAATAGGAATATTTTCACTTAAATATTAAGTGCCTGGCAGTAATAGGAACTGAAGTCTCTGTATTCACATGGTAGATGGTACAGTTTGGTCAGTCCAGTGCTATTCATCAGTGAGCTGGAAGGAATGTCTTCCCTCTCTTGGAGGGTGGGATGGCCTGTCCTTATAGCAGCTCAGTGCTGGTCCTTTCCCAAGTAAGGACTGCTTCACTTTGTGGTCGTTTTATGATTAATGATTCTTCCCTGTTGAGGGCAGAAGTGAGAGCACCGGACGTTTTTCATGAAGGCTCTCAAGCTGCACTTGAGCCCCTAGGTGAGAGGCTAACAACTATCCACTGACCCACCTGTATCTTAGTATGCTCATTTAATCATATTCAGAATTGACTTTCAGAAAATAATTCTTTTCTTTCCCCTCCCTTTTTAACAGGGCAATGGAAAGATTATGCCAGCATCGACATTTGACATGGATAAGTTAAAGTCTACATTGAAACAGTTTGTAAGAGACTGGAGTGAGACTGGCAAAGCAGAGAGGGACGCCTGCTATAAGCCAATCATAAAAGAAATCTTAAAAAACTTCCCCAAGGAGAGCTGGTAAATACTGCTGCATTTCTGACCCCTTTCTTTACGGCGTGTAAGCACTTAGCCACGACATTTCACCTTGTGATTCATTTTCATAGCCGCTCTGTGCCTGCATGTCTTTACATGTCTGAGAGATCTGTTTGTTACTGGATGCTGCAGTTGGGTGACGTCGGGGTTTTTATGTTCTGTAACATTTACTCTAGTAATTTTAAAAAACAATTTGAAACTAAAGTTAGAATAAATATTCATAATCAATAATACACACTACTTTATAAGTTGTTTTTATAGCAAAACAAAAGTGATAGATTTTACTTTATCTCATTATGGCATTCTTAAAAGAAATGAGGGGTCCAGAGATCTACTGACCAGAGAGATTTAATTAACTTTTTGAACATAGAACCTTTCAGACATTCGGAAGCTTATGGTCTGATTTTCAGACTAACATTCATAAATGAATACAATGAAATGCATGGCCTCAAAGAACTGGTTATTTTGAAATAAAGTTACTGAAATCTTTAAAAAGCAAACTTGTGGAGGGCTGGGGTGGTACTTGCTACAATACATGAGGGCCTGTGTTTGAATCCCTAGCACCTGCTTAAGAAGCCGGCTCTTAGTAGTCTGAACCGAGAGACCCTATCTTGTCTCAAAATTAAGTTGGGAAGCAACTGAAGAAGACACTCGTATACATTTCTAGTGACACAAACACACACATACACACAGACACAGATTCATATAAAATAAGTAATGTATCTTAATTAAGCAAATACTGTGCTCCTAGGTACTTTTTACAATGTATTGATTAAATACAACCTGGCAGTGGATATACGTAATACATTAAGAAAATACTGAATAGTTTGTACATTATTTTTCATAAAAGTGTGATTCCTATTGGTGATAAAGTTATAGATATTCCTAAATTTACCATTACTCATTGCCTACATTTTGTAATTGAAGACAAGTATCAATTAAATATTATTGTACTTAGAATCTGTTTGGGGCTACAGAGATGGTTCAGTAATTAGAGCCTGTACTTACTGCTCTTGTAGAGGACCCAAGTTCAGTTTCCAGCTGAACATTATCAGGCGGCTCACAATCACCGGGAATTTTAGCTCTAAGGGATCCGATGCCCTCTCTGGACCCTGTAGGCGTCGGCACTCATATATGCTTCTTACCACACTCAGACACATACAATGTGTACAATTTAAAGTAGACCATTTTTTAAAAAAATAATAAAATGAAATCTAACTTTCCCTCATGCTCCTAATGTGAATTTTGTCCTCAGACCCCCAGGATTCATTGGTCCCTGTGTTCAGCACTCCTGAGTTTGAGTGTATCCCTTGAGGGATGTTAGTGCCTGTGTCTCTCTCTCTTTCTTCTCGCTTTGAACTTTTAATTTTGAAATAGCTTCAAAATTATGGTTCATGAATTGTGTAACCACCCTCCACACTCTTTACCAAAGTTCATCAAGTTTTGGCATTTTACAGCATTGCTGTATCATTCCCACCTTCTCCTTCTCTCCATCTTCCAGCATGTGGATGGCGAAAAGCACACACTCAGAATGACTGCGAAGCCATTGGAGACTTGCGTTAGCATCTGCCGTGCTTTCTTCCTGCCTAGAAATTTCCAGCGTCAGTCTTCAGGGTCTCACTCTGTAGCCCTGGCTGACCTGGAGCACCCAGATCCATGCGCCTCTGCCTCCTGAGTCTGCATTGAAAGTGTGTGCCACCACCCAGGTGCACTTTATTCTTAAGTCTGTTCCCGTTCAGTTACCAGAGTCAGGAAATTGACCCTTGAACACAGTTATGGAACCTGATGGTATCTGCTTAGATTTCAGAATTGTCCTGGTAGTCTTGTACCATGTCCTGTCCGCTCTAGAATCCAGTCCTCTGGTGGTTCTTATGTGAGACCATCTCTTAGCCTTCAGAGTTTGTAGGCTGCCTTCTACCAAAGGAAGGCTCTTCTCTCTCCTTTATATATTTATTTTAGTGACTCATCATTTGTAGTCAGTGAACTATAATCTATTACCATTGTTTTAATTTTGTTGTTCAAATTCCTTTATTTTTTTATTTGTGAAAAAATATAAAATATTTCAGACTCATGTTGTAGTTTCCTGTGAGGTGTGGCTATTTCTCCAAAGATTTGAGTTTTTTGTAATTTGGCATGCTATCCAGATTCCCCAAAACAGATATGGGGTCTCTTTGTTGTTACTCAGATGTCATTTGCTTTTGGGCATTCTGCTGCACAGACACAAACACACATACCGATACTCAGTGCTGAATTCCTCTGTGGTACACATGGTCTCTCTCTTCAATTAGATGCTTTAACTTTATGCTTTTCTGAGGCAGGGTCTCACTGTAGCTCCTGAGCTCATGCTGGCCTTGAATTTATCCTCCTGTCCAGATCCACCTCCAGAGTGTAGGACTATGGGTGTGTGCTGCTACATCTCAGCTCAGTGTAGTTTACAGCGATTTTTTTCTTTTCATTTGTTTTTGTTGTTGTTTTTTTTTTTTTTAGTCACTACCCAATAACCCCAACATCTGTGTTGTTCGTGAGTTTCTTTTGAAAACTTCCTTTATTTTCTTGAGTTTTTTCATGAACAGTTTTGTTTTAGTGGGACATTTTACGTTAAAAAAAAAGTGAAGATTAGCATAAAAAAATAAATGACGCTTTGCTTTTTCTGTCAGGACACTAGTATAGAGGGAAGGGTAAATAGTGTGTCTTAAATTTCTGAAATACTTGCAAGTATTTATTGCTTCAGACAGTCTCTTAAGAAATTTTTTTATAGGCTAGAGAGATGGCTCAGAAGTTAAGAGAACTGGCTGCTCTTACAGAGGTCCTGAGTTCAATTCCCAGCAACCACATGGTGGCTCACAGCCATCAGTAATGAGTTCTGGTTCCCTCTTCTGGTGTGCAGTCGTACATGCAGACAGAATACTGTATACATAATAAATAAATAAATCTTAAAAAAAATTTTTTTATAAACCTTGCATCAACAAATACAAGATTATTGCCTCTTTCTAGAGAATCAACTAGTTTATAAGGTTTTGGATATATTTCATCTTCTACTTCATACACATTAACTTCAGCATCTTACCGAGACAGGGTATTAGTTACTGGTCTCTACATAAAAACAATTACTACTTCAATAGTAAGTCAACTACTGTGTACACAGGAAACCATCGGCTTATTGAGATGTCATCTACAAAGGCTAGGAGCAAGATATTTTGTTGCTGAGTCAACTTTAACACAAAATGCTTGACTATCTTCCTTATTTAGATACCTCTCTCTACCTGTGTGTGTATTTTCATTACTGTTCTTTAAAATCGTCACAATTTGGGCTTTCTGGTTTTTTTTTCCTCCCAAAGTATTTTCTTTGATTTATTTTTTTTTAATTACCATACAACATAATGGGTTTCTTTATGCATTTTCAGGCATATATGTCAGATACAGCTCTTACTCATCCACTTCTCCATTGGCTCTTACTCATTCATTTCTCCATTATGTCATGTAGTTTATTTTCAGGAGAATAAACATCATAAAAGTCATGGTGTAAATGTTTGTGATCTTTTGACATTTTGGACTGTACTTTCTGAATAGGATCTAGCTTTCTTGTAGACTTTTTTTTGGGGGGAGGGAGGATTTCCATATGTAAGATATCATGCAAAAAGTCTTTATTTCTTCCTTTCCAATTTGAATACCTTTTATTCCTTGTTTTTGTTCTTAGGGAGAAAATTTTCTCTTTTCACCGTTATGTATAATACTAATTGTAGAGTTTTCGTAATTCTCTTTTTCTTGTTGAATAATTTCCATCTTTATTAGAAAGTGTGTTGAATATTAAATACCTTTTGATTCTATTGAGACAACTTTGCAGGTCTTCTCCACCCCCCCTCATTTTATTAAATTCTCATTTTCTTGTTTTAAACCACCTTTGCCTTCTTGGGATAAATCACATTTGGTTATGATAAATAATTTCCTAAGCATATTATTGGGTTAGATTTGCTAATATTTTGTTTGAGATTTCTACACTCATTTATTATAAGGGATAGTGGCCAACAGTTATGTTTTACTAGGAGTAAGCATTTACTTTCTACCCGTATGACCTTGAGACATTTGCAGCTTGTTTTTTATTCTCTGAAAGATAGGGAGCAATCTTCAGTAAGACTCATCTTGAAGACTTTACTTCCGTTCTTCAAGACTGCTCTGCTCAATCATCAATGCTACTACAAGTTATCTGCTCATGTGCTGCACATTGACCCTACCAATGAGTTCCATTCCTGCCTGAGATTCTTATCAGTGGCAGTTCATGGAGGGTTCCACAGCTAGTAGAACAGTGAACTAATCTCTTATGTTAATTTTTATAGTTTTTGTAATTGCTTTAAAGTTTATGAACCTTTATGGACATCATTGCTTCTATGGGGATAGTTTTTATTTTAAAGTTTCTAGTTTTTATTCTCTCTGAATGTCATCAGTACTTTGCTCACTAAAGTACTAGATAATGGCTTCTTTGAAGTCTACGTATCCCTGAAAATTCAAAGTATCTTTGTTTCTGAAAGTAGATTGTAAAGTAAGGCTCTTTAAAATTTGAGTGTACCAAAGCTTGAATGAATTTTAAAGGCTCAAAGATCAGCTGTTTATGTCAGCATAAATGACAACATATTTATAATTTTATTCATGCTCAGATTCTTAAATAATATATGCTGTTCTGTCTAATCAGCCTTTCAATACTAACTTATCTAAAAACCCGTGTCATTATTAAAGGTGGGGTAAGCTTGCACACTCACCACTGTTTTACGGTTACTTTCCTGCTGTTACAGTGTCGACAGTGTAAGCAGGTAAATGGATGAATGAACCCTAGGTGGTTCTAGTAAATTACTTAAAAAGTAAAAGACAAAGACATTTTTCAGTAGGTAAAAGTATTCAAAGCTGAGGTTAAGAAGGATGTGAATCTTTGAAACTGCTCTCCAGCCACCCACTTTTCTACAATGCTACAGACGTGGTGAGGATATGCATAC